TATATATTTACTATAAATAAAAGCTTCTAAGATCTATATAGAGATATATTTTAATCTATATCTATTTATCTATATATATATTTTAAATTACAGAGGGATTCTTTATATATAGTAAAAAACTTAAAAAAAAAAAAAACTTAAAAAAAAATAGATAAAAAAATAAAATAAAAAAGAATTAAAAATTAAATATAAACTAGAGATAAATAAAAAACTAGTTATATAGATCTAGTTATATATAACTTAATCTTAGAATATCTTCTTTATATATAATAATAACTATAAAAAAAAATAGAATTAGTTAGATATATTAGATAGATTAAATAACTTAAACTAATTATTTTATATTAATAATACTCTAGTAGTTATATTATATAATATCTTTTATATCTTATTTATACTATCTCTTAGCTTCTAGCTTCAGCTTATATAATAAGGCCTCAGCATCCTTAAATTATAATATTTAGGTCTTCTTTGATTTTTTAAGAGCCTGAAAACCCTACTGCCGCTATCTTCTTTCAGCTTTGATATTGTAAGAGCCTAAGAGTACTAGTTCTACCGCATCGCATGAATCCTGTCCTATTCGGCGCGCCTGGGCCTCTGTAGCTTCATGCAGAGAGACATAGGCCTCTGATTATTATCCCGAGATTAACAGATAAGGCTTGAGAACCGCTACTACGCACCAAAAAAGGGTTCTTAGGGGCGGAAATGCCTTGATTATCAGACTTGGGTGAAGTACAATAGTGGTGAAGCACCATCGGAAATCCTCCCCACCATCCCCACTGAATTCCGTCGCTCATTCCGCCCTCGCTTCTCTACCCTTGCCCTTACCAACCTTGATTAAGAGTTAAGGTGAATGAGGCTGATGATAGTTGCTTTGAAGTATTGAAGCTTCTGTCTCTACAAGTCTTATCTCTGATAGATCTCGTGGCATTCCCCCAGACTAGGTGCTTTCGATTCCCACTATGGCCTCTGTCCCAACAAACAAGAGAACAATTACCCTTAATGATGGGAACAAGATCCCTGTCATAGGTTTGGGTACATTCTTGTCAGCTCCAAACGAGGTGAGGAATGCAGTTGTTGCAGCGTGAGCCTCTATTGATCACACGTCCAGTTCATTTAAGCTGACAATAATGCAGTTGGAAGTGCGGGATAAGACATATTGGTTGCGCCCAATTTTACCAAGTAAACTGGCCTCTCTCCTCTGTACAGTAAAATGAGTTGCATGTTTTAGAATGAAATTGAAGTGGGTCAAGCCCTTCGAATCCTCGGTGCAGAGGAGCCCGACTTTAAGCGTGAAGATATCTTCATCACTAGCAAGGCGTGGAATTCGTGAGTAAAAAATTGCCTGTCTAGGGACGAGAAACTCGTTTAACGAATGACTTAGCCACCATCGGCCAGAAAATGTGAAAAAAGCATTGGACCAAACTTTGCTTGATCTTGGCACTGACTACCTTGATCTGTACCTGGTATGCTAAAATCAAACCATTTCAGAGATTGTTACTCTTACATATATGTAGATCCATTGGCCTGTCAATTTTGCGGCTGTTGAAGATAAGAGTGTTCCAACCGGCATCAAGCTAGAGCCGGCAAAGGAAGGCAACATGCTTCTCGATACGGAGCTTAGTATTGTAGACACATGGAAGGCTTTCATTGATCTCCAGAAGAGTGGAAAGGTCAAGAGGTAAAGGCGTCAACCCTTCTATTTGTAGCTCGATATCGTCTGGCTAAGTCTAACATAAAGCACAGCATTGGCGTAAGCAATTACCGCGTTTCCCACTGTCAAACAATAATCGACGAGACGGGCGTTGTTCCCGCAGTCAATCAGGGTATGTTCTCAATTTCAAGGTTTCAGTTGATAGCCGCCTTTACTTATTATTTAACGCAGTGGAAGCACACCCACTTCTTATTCAGCAAGAGCTACTCGACTATGGTAAAAATATCGGCATGCATATCTCGGCGTACATGCCGTTCGGTGGTGACCCTTCACGTGGAGGTTCGCAACTGCTGGGAAATCCACTTGTCAAGGACATCGCGGCCAAGTACGGCAAGGACGCAGGCCAAGTACTTTGCTCGTGGGGCATAAAGGTTTGTTATCCGAAAAGAATCACAAGAATTGAGCAATATGTGGAAACATGGCTGATTTGGATTTTCTAGCGTGGCTTTTCTGTACTTCCGAAATCAGTCAAGGAAGCCCGTATCATATCTAACTTCCAGGTTTTCGACCTGGATGACAAGAAGTAGGTCTTAGTTCTAAGTTCTTTGGGATTTAGGAGATAATGGAAAACTGATTGATTTTCAATTCTAGTGAAGAGATACTCACAAACATTGGTCGTGGGAATGCTCAGAAATTTGGAGGCATGCCGTTCAAGTTTGACAATGCCTGGAGGGTCAACTTTTTGACACGCCCGAGGAGCGTGAGGCGGGCCTATTAGAACCATTTTAGATTAAATTATACATAAGTAGGTAGATGAAGTTATGAGTAAGGATGGTTGTGTCGAGAACATAGTCTTAGCCCAGTTTGAATGTCCAATAGTGCGGAAACCTGTTCCTTGCTGCTTCACATTCATGGAACTTAGACAACTTCTAAACCTGCTGGAAATACCGAACCTATTGATGTGTACGTTATCTCAACCCCCTTTGAAGGGGGCAAATCTCGATGGAGATAAATGCCCCTGTGTGGGTGGGCTCGTCGAGAAGTGTGGGGGTTGGGGTCAACCTTGGTGGCTACCCACCCCTGAACTCGCGCTATTAAGATCCCCGCGTTGCGATCGGAATCACTCCGTGATCTATTTTTCATTTCTCGACATTGCTTCCTCTCATAACTAGAAGACATGTCGCTTGATGTTCCCTGACGACGCTAAGTCACTGAATGTATTGAAGGATGGATGATACTCAGCGCAGTGGTAGTGACCAAGCCAGCCCTTCTCTTACGCATCCCGCGTCAGGTGCTTTCAAAGCCAACAACTCGGCTAGAAAGACGCGAGGGAAGTACACTTCAAGAGCATGGTAGGTTCCGACCCCGGGATATGAGGTTCGTTAATCAATAGCGCTAAGACAGTCTCATATCAATAGCGCGCATTGCAGGAGAAGGAAGTTGAAGGTCGGTTGTCTCTCTATCACTCTTCCAATGTGTTGTTAATACTCATCGTCTCCCTCCAGTGTTCCGGGAGCGACCCTTGCCAGCGTTGTGCTCGACGTGGTATCCGCTGTCTATTTTCAGACACTGTCCCATTAAGCCTTAGCCAGGGAGAAATTGGGCAACGTGATGCACCGGACGCATTGGAAGTCCATCCCATCCAGCAGACCGAGTCACCGGTTCAGCCGCCCCTGCAGTCTGTCCAACCGTCAAACCAAGTGCTTCCTGATCTGGACGCGCGGATGAGGCAGATGGAGAATGCGCTGCAAACGCTGATCCAAATTATTCCACGGGGTACTGAAAGACCCAACATGGAGTTTCAAAGAGCCGACGAAGATAGCGGATTCCAAGGCGACACCACCTTCAATGCCCCAGTCGATGCTTTCAATGCCAGGCTTGCATCACTCCGTGAGCAACTTGGCTACTCTGATACTTCCTCGCCTTCAAGGAGGTCTGACAATGAATTGACGCTCAACTCTGCGTCGACGGTCACAGGTGCAAGTGATGAGCTGATTGGCAACATACGCTTTGGCTCCCGCACCCTCCCATTCCCTTCTACTCCTGAGTATGCTCGTTATCTTGATGTCTTCTTCAACGATATCAATCCTTGCCATCCGTGCATTAACCAACCCGAATTTACCTCCAAGTGCCAAAAATTAAAATCTACGCGAGCTGTCGATCCGCAAGACGCATGCCTCCTCGCCATCAACTATATCATCTTCGCGTGTGCAGATATTCTCACTGAATTGAGTCCCGTCCAACAAACCAGATCTATACCGGGGTGGAAATGGTATCTAATTGCCGAGGACCTTATGAACAAGAGAAAATTGACGGGGCGAGGAGACCTGAGTCTCATCCAGTATTTAGTCTATGAGGTAAATCGAGAATATTGGGCAAGACATATGCAGACAGGCCCGCTAAACAGATCTTCAGACATTCTATCTTATTCACGCGGATTTGCCAAACGCAGCGTACAATGCTTCCGGCCTCGCATGCAGATTGTGCTTTCAGTTTGGGCTCCATCAGCAACGGTTGTGGGGTTCTAGCTGCACTCCATTTTCTAAACATGTCCGCCAACGGCTGTTCTGGACTCTGTATTTCGTTGATAGGCGCACCGCTTTGAGTTGCGGTAGGCCGTACGGAATTAGAGACTCGGACGTTGACGTCGAAGAGCCTGCATGGATTGACGACAAAGTGAGTTACCCGCGCCGTTTGCTACCTACTGGCTTGGTTTGTCAAGAACTAATTATACTGGCCGATACAGGCACTCTTCCCCGACAAGCCGATTCCGGATGCTGACCCCGATCACACATTCAATATCTTCCTTTCCGGGCTGAGTGCATTTTCTCGCTTCGCTGGGGAGATATGGGACCAGGTGTTCTCTGTTACGTCTGCGGACGATCCGCATCTAGGAGAAAAGGTTGCTGTTCTGGATGCACGTATCAAATATTGGACGGATACCGTGTTCCACACTCTCCCCTTGGTTCCGCCGCATGGAAATCCAACACAGCGTCATCGATGGCAGGAGACCCTCATACGAACGGTACTGGCCCCTCCCCCTTTCGACATGAGAAGTTTGCTGATGGTAGGATCTAAATATAGAGAATGAGCCATCTACGCTTGTTGCTTCGCCGGCGCACTATGGTCTCTTTGTCTTATACAATGACAGATGGCAAAATATGCGGAGAGGTAGCCATGGAAATCGTTGGCGACATATTACCACATGGCGCAGAGGCGCGGAAACCAAGCTGCTCACGATTCCACATGGCATTTTCTCTCGGAGGCGCGATTCTCATCCTCGCCACTCTGCTATGCCGAGACTTATCAACGGTTAATCTGCAAAAATATCGAACTGCCTACATGAAGTCTTTTTCGTCGGGATTGGCTTTACTCCGAGACATCTCTATCCACCTACATACGGCCAGACGTATCTTGGAAGACCTTAGGGGAATCATAGAGGTAGTGGAGCACCTGATACGAGAAGAAGACGGGAATCCAACACAATTCGAGGATATCAGCAATGTCGTGCCACCGAACCTAGAGGATCTTTTCCCCTACGGAGATATCAACGCCAGCTTTCAACCAGACTTGGATATGTTTGACATGCAAACCCAGCCACAAGAGTTCAGCAACAACGATATGGCTTTCGTGAATGGAGATGTTTCAACGGGTCTCTGGGCTCTATGGAGTAACGAAGGGTATGGAGTTCCGTGGGTCTAAATATTCTTGTACCTTAAAGAGAGTTTTCTACCTCAAATGCCTTTGCCAACCCAGTTCTCAGTTCTTGAATAGATCCTTCGTCTTCCAATCTATACAATGGTTTGCGAAATACGCCGGCGAGACTCTTGTCAACATGGATTCCCATTGCAGTTTTAATGCTCACAAACCCCTTTAATGTAATCAGCATTGCAATTAAGGATACTACAGGCTGTACTTGGCAACTTACAAAATTATTGATCACAGAGTCGGCCTCGGTGACAATGTCTTGAAGTTTCTGGGCTTCTAGAAGCCTGATTGGATCCAATTAGCTCTTGTTCCATGGCTGGCACTTTGCCAATCATCTTGGCACTCACAATTCCATGTTCCCAGTCTCCATTGCTTTCTTGCCTGTCTCAAATATCTTGACGCATAGTTTCGGATAAAGATTCGCCCTAAAATTCCAGTTAGCTATATCTAAGACCCGGAACATTGTTAAAAAATTCCTTACGGTCCACCGATGCAGCCATGCTGTCTTCCCAAGATGGCAGGGAGCAAATAGTCGGTGCATCCAGGCAAAACAAGGAATGGAAGCGGATGACGGGCTCTATACTCGGCTGAGTTGACATGGAGTGCGACACGGTATCCCTTGGCAATATTGAAGCATGTGAGCTTTACTCCTCTGTGAGAACAGGTTAGAATTCATCATTGTACGTGAGCTGGGGTATCATACGCGATGTTTTGATGCTCGCTGGGCAGCATGAGTTAACATTTTCTAGTTGAAATTTACAGAATGCACTTACGAGATGTCGACTAGAAAGTCAGCATCTAAGTCAATACCTCCAGCAGCAAAGGGGATCTTTGATGGACGTTGGTTAATCAATAGATTGCTTGAATTTGGGACCCGAAGCTTACATTATAGATCATCATGGGAACCGGGCTCTGATCGGCAATTGACGTGAAGAAGTCCTTGATAGCTGGTTTGTTTTTACCATAGACGAACGAAAAGTATGCCGGAGCCACTACAATGCTAGATACAACTTTAGCATGTTTAACAACGATCTTACAGCTGGCCCGAGACCTACCTACATTGCATCGGCGCCTGCCGAGCCAGCATCTTTGGCTTGGGAAATACATTCCCGAACGCTTGAGCCGGTGACTCCAGAAATTATAGGAATGCTTTCCAACTTCAGGCCTTTTAGTGTTTCTCTGGCCGATTTGATGAGGGCGATTCGTTCATCACGCTCGAGGAAAGGGCCTTCGCCTAGGGTGCCCCCAATGAGAATTCCCACACCCGCCTTTCCAAGACGGGCAATATTAGAATTGAATGATTCAAAACAAATTTGTTCAGTTCCATCTGTCTGAAAGTGTGTAAGGATGGGGGCGTAGACGCCGGGCCGAAGCGATTGAGTGGCAGACATGATGGCAGAAAGGGACAGAAGCACGTGCAATACTGAAATTCAGTGAATGCTGGTGCTAGCGAGAGGAACAAGACAGGCAGACCAAACTACCCTTTTGGCATCGCATGAGCCAATACCACGATGCCTCATGTACGTCGGGGTCGAACCCATTCCGAGCCTCATTCCGCCCCTCGGAAATCACGTTGGCTTAGCCTAGGGTGAGACTATTCCGCACCTCGGCATAATGAGGAGTTAAAACACTTCAAGAATAGCTGAGATAGTGTCTAGGATTGATGTCACACTGAATGAGGATTTGATATTATCTTAATTTTTACCTCCACCCTTGCTATCAAAGAAATGGATCCCAACAGCATAGTCTTTACCTCATTCACCGTCCGTGACATCCGATGGCCGACATCATTGGACAACATCGGGACAGATCCCATGAACTTGGCGGGTGAGAATTCATTTGGCTATCTCCAGTACACCACGAGTGTAGATGGATTGGTGGGGACGGGCTGGTCATTTGCCAACGGTCAGGGCAACGAGTTAGTGAAATTCGCCGCCTTTCTCCCATGACACAAATAACTTATCTATCATCCACAGCGTTCTATGTACAGCCATCAAGTCGCTGGCACCCCGACTTATTGGTCGAACCCTTGGTTCCTTGATCAAGAACATGGGCGTAACGCAGCGCAAGCTCCAGTCTGGCCAGATCAGATTCATGTCCCCTGAGCGGGGCGTCTTGCAACTCGCGACCTGTGCCGTCCTCAACGCGGTGTGGGATCTCTGGGCCAAGGCTGAGAAGAAGCCTCTGTGGAGGCTGGTGGCTGACTTCACCCCCGAAGAGTTCGTTAGGGTTATTGATTTCAGGTATCTCTCTGATGTCTTGACGCCCGAGCAGGCTCTTGAAATGCTTCGGGAGCAGGAGAAGACCAAACAAGATAGATTGAAAGAGGCATTGGCGAATGATGCGGTCCCAGCATATAATACATCTGCTGGGTGGCTTGGACACTCTGACGACAAGGTGAGCAGCTGTTTTAGACACCTTGCCGATTTGCCATGGTCCTGATTTGGAGCGAATTTAGGTCCGGGAGCTCCTCGTAGATGCCGTGAAGCAAGGATTCCGCCACTTCAAGCTCAAGGCTGGACTGGGCCTGGAGACAGACCGCAAGCGCCTTGGATTTGTCCGCGAGGTTGTTGGAAAGGAAGGCATTCTCATGGTTGATGTAAATCAAATCTGGGATGTTGACGAGGCAATCGAGTATATGAAGCAATTATCGGACATTGGAATCTGGTATGTACCAGCCAGGAAGATCCAGAAGAATGTGGACTAATAAATTCCAGGTTTATTGAAGAGCCTACGTCTCCTGATGACATCCTTGGCCATGCGAAGATTCGAGCCGCGCTTAAGCCTTATGGAATGGGTGTCGCTACGGGCGAGCACGTGAACAACCGGGTCATGTTCAAGCAGCTCCTCCAAGCAAAGGCCATCGATGCCGTGCAGCTTGATGCTCTGAGACTTGCTTCAGTCAATGAAATTCTGGCGGTTCTTCTTATGAGCGCCAAGTTTGGCGTGCCTGTTGTTCCTCATTCCGGAGGCGCGGGAATGGTTGAATTATGTTCTCACATCAGCACCATCGACTATGTCGTTGTATCTGGGAAGAAGAGCATCCTGGAGTATACTGATCATTTGCATGAGGTGTTTGAAGCTCCTGCAGCAGTGACTAAGAATGGTACGCACGTAACGCCAACAGTCCCGGGCTATTCATGTGACGTGAAGGAGGCCCAATTTGCCGAGTTTGAGTGTCCAAATGGAACGTTTTGGAAGTCAGAGATGGGGCAGAAGATGGTCAATGACCCCTGGCGAGGAACTCTAGGGGAACAAACTTCGTAATTATTGGATCTTACATCAAGACACAAGATTTAAAGAACTTTCGTATCATAACTTCGTTCAGTGTTGGTCGCTTGTAGTAGAATCGTGTTGATTTATCGAACTGCTTCTGATGCTGGATAACAGGAATGGCTGATCGGCTTGGACTGAGCGTAGGGTATACCCGCTATTGACTTAGTTGACGGGATAGCCTGAAGGAAACGAAAAGAGAGACGAAATAACTAGAGATATGCAAAGCTCTATATGACGGAAGTAAACAGTTGATCCATTCGAGCTGGTCTTCGCACCGTTGAGCTCAAAGAGGAGCCTTCTCTCTTCCACTCTAAGGTGGATATGGATGACCTTCGTATTCATTGTGTTGAGATGTCGGGCCTGGCATCTTCATTGTTGTTTTTGACTTCGTAGTTGAACTCTCTCATCCATGGATTACATTTGCTGTAATATAGACTACTCATAGAAGAGTTGACCGAAAACTTTTTGTAGAGAAACTTCACGTCGTCGGAGGGTTTATGTGCAGATAACTCGACTGTGCAATATTTTTGCCTAGACTTGCTCATAATTTGGGTGTAATGGGAAAAAATTAGAGCATTCAAGATCCAACTGCTGTTGAGCACAGAGATTTGTTGTCCCAAATACATGACTCTGTTCATTTAAGGGAGTCCAACTCGCCAATCGGCACCGTCTCCATTAAGCCCAAACCTAGTGCTGCTCATGTCCTTGACTGTGGTACGCCTCATATCACGGGGGTGTTTGCCCTCGTACGCGCCGCCAGTGGCCCGATGCATCACCGAAGTATTGTCCCAGATGATCATGTCACCGCTGTCTTCCCAATCAATGGTCAATCGGTAGCAGGGCTTTTCCACATGATCCTTTAGCTCCTTCAGGAGTGCGTCACTTTCCTCGGGCTTCATGTCAACAATGCTGTGACAATAAGAAGCAATGTATAAGTTCTACCATCACGTCAGTTTGGGCTTGCCGATCCACAATATGGGAGGATCCTATACCTTGCGACTACTGTATTCGTGGACCTGAGCGAGCTTGTGCTTGCTTAGTGGGAGCTTGGCCGGATCCGTGCCCTTGAAGTACTCAGGCATGACCGTCTTTCGAGAATGGAATAGGGAGTGGTTTGCAACAAGATTCTCAATTTGGTTCTTCTTCTCCTGGCTCAGATCATCATATGCCGTTCTTGAATCAGAGAACTACTCGTTCGTTAGCCTTTTACGTGCTTCGATTTGATACATCAAATATACCTCAGTGGCGCCACCAGTGCCCTTGGGGGGTAGGACATGAGCCAGAAGCAACGAGTGGCCTGCACGACGCCCATTGAATGACGAGTCAACATGGAAAAGCTCATTAGCCTAATTAGCATTAGTATCTAACGTTGGAAAATGATGTTGTAAGTGAGCAGGAGATCTAGAGGTACCTTGTTGCCAATCACTTGAGCCGCTGTCAGTGGAGCAACAGTGCCGGTGTGAGGATCAATGTTTCCTGCATCAAAAAGCTCAGGATAGGCGAGACGGTGAACTCTGCCCGCCTTTTGATAAGGTCTCACGTCGTCAAGATCACCAAAGTAAGCAGAAAATTTGATGTGAGCCTCATCTGATAGGCCAGTGCTGCGACAAACCACAACGCCGTACTAGCTATTGTTAGCGAGTATACGAAGAGTATAGTTAACTGCATACTACCTTGTCAACAACATCTCGAATTTCTTGATACAACTCGGGGGAAATGTCTTTGCTCCAGTCTATGCCGTCGAGGCGACATCCAAACGTAGGATGGAGTGGGGTAACGCGGAGATTGAATTTAGGAGTAGTGTAAGGAGACGCAATTTGACCCTCAATCTTGAGAGGAATCCATGTTGGAGTAGGCTTGACCGTGATTGTCTGAGTAGCCATCTTTGGAAATATCAGATGTTTGGATAACTGCTGGGTATGTTGCGCGATTGGTGTGAGGGCTGACTCTTTCATAAAGGGTGCTCGTTCTTTCTCGTACTAGCTTGTTTATCCTCCTGTCTCACGTCGTTAGCGCATGAATTTATGATTTAGATTGCCTTAGGATGGCATTTGTATATTCCGAGCCAGCATCTCTCTTTCCGCCCTGTGTCGTTGTTATGGAGCAGGTTTGGCAATTCCGTTCACAATCCGAGGATCAGGTCACACCACCCGTAAACCCCCGTGACCCGTAATGGAGTTTAGAACTGAATCATTTACAGTCTCATATGTTTAGGCTCGAAACCTGGACTAGTAGGAAGGTCACCAATCCAGATGACGTAGACACCAAGATTTCCGAGGGGCGGAATTAAGCGGGACTTGTCTCTAGCCCACCTTTTGTCGAGGAGTAATCCTAGTTTCCCCAGCCGAGCCAAATTTCCCCAGCGTTTGGGGTTCATATTCCCCAGGTTCCAGTGGAGAGTGGAGCAGTATTGTTCTTTTAAAACCTGCTCTGTCGTCTTCCTCTTTCTCTTCCACTTCAGAGAACTGTTACTTCCTCAGCAGACATCTGAGCGTAACTAAGAGAAGAACATTATGGCTGGAGGAAACGAGGAGCCGGCATATCGACAATACCGCAACAACACTAATCCCAAGTGGTGGAGAGACCTTGGGCTTCGTACCAATGTATTCCACTGCGCTGGCCTCTATTTCTGCGTTTTCTATCTGGGGTAAGAGTGAACCTCAAACTCAGTATGACATGATATTGACATCTTAGCTACGATGCTTCCCTCTTAAATGGTCTTCAAGCTATGCCACAGTGGCAGAAATACTTCAACCATCCCAATAGCAGTTATCTGGGTTTGATCTCTGCCAGTCTTTTCCTCCGTAAGTGAAGTATCGGGATCTGAACTTGTCATATCTCCTTCTAACAGGACTCTAGCTGCGATTGTGTACGATTACTTATGACATAAATCTATGATGGATATTAGCTGATCAAAGATACAGCACCCCTTACATCAGCTCTGCTATAAACTCGCGATGGGGCAGAAAGGCATCTCTGACTGTTGGCAGTCTAGTCTTGGTGAGTACCATACGTAGTATCAAATGTGGTAAGCTTTTTCACTAATCGTCACGATTAGATTCTTGGTGCCTTTGTCAATGCCTTTGCGAATAGCGGAGCCATGTTCATTGCTGGACGTGTCTTGATCGGGTTTGTCTACTGGCCTTGAACAATTGAATATATTTAACAAGTGCCACAGTGCCGCCGGCCCATTCGGCAAGATAACTGCCATTGCTCTACTGCAGGAAATAGCCCATCCTCGACTCAGAGCGTACGATACATGTCTCACTTCTTCTTTAGGTGTGGTTTTTCGCTAACTTCGATAGTATTCTCTCTTGCTGCTTTTATTCTAACTACTACTTTGGGTCTATTGCAGCTGCATGGTTCTGTTGTAAGAATGATATAACGGCCTTTCCTTGGGAACCATGCTGACGCTATATACCTTACAGATGGGTCACTTCACTGGAGAGATACGGATTGGTCTTGGAGGGCTCCATGTCTTTTTCAGATCATGGCACCAGCAGTCGTCTTAGCTTTTATGTTCATCATCCCTGAAAGCCCCCGAGTAAGACAGTGCAATCGGAAAACCCCAAGAACATGACTGACATTTCACAGTGGCTCATCCATCACGACCAACGGGACAAAGCGATGCGTATTCTAGCGAAATATCATGCCAACGGGGATATGGAAGATGAGCTTGTCCAACACGAATATAGAGAGATTTGTCTCGCAATACAGCTCGAGGAAGAAAACTCAAAGACAAGCTTTGTTGACTTTCTTAAAACTCCCGGAAATAGACGACGTCTTTTGGTTCTCATCACCATGGCTACAGGCACGGTAAGAAAACCTTCCCTTATATTACAGATGGAATAAGCCTTAGCTAATTCATGACCAGAATTGGGTTGGCAATGGTATTATCACGTACTATCTTACCCCTGTTCTTTCACTTGCTGGTATCACGGACTATACACAGATATGTACGTCATATACTTGGTAACTAATCATACAGGATGAATGCTGACATGATACAGCGGGAATAAATGGCGGCCTAGCTATTTGGAATTTGATTCTAGCCTATATTGCTTCGTTTAATGCCGAAAAGGCCGGTCGGCGAGTGATGTGGCTTGCTTCCACTACTGGCATGCTCGCCACCTACATTGTTATCACCGGTTTATCTGTAAGGATACTACAACTCAAGAAAGAGGAAGTAAAATCGCTAACAAACGTACAGGGCAGCTTTGCATCAAACCATAGTCGTCCAACCGGGATTGCTATCGTTCCTATGCTCTTCATGTATTATGGATTCTATGATATTGGGTGGACTCCTTTGCCTTGTAAGTACAACGAATGGGATGACAAGAAATTATCCTAATGTATATCGCTAGTCTCATATGGAGCAGAAATCTTGCCCTACCATATGCGTCTGAAGGGTCTGAGTATCATGCTCTCTGTGCAAAGTGTTGCTCAAGCATTTGTATTCCATGCCTCAAAATACCGAAAGGTATTCGGTTCTTGCTGACACGGGAATAGAACCAATGGGTAAACCCAGTTGCCTTAGCCGCTTTGGCTTGGAAATAGTAAGTTTACGTACACCAGGTTCAAAAACCTCGCTAACAAATCTTCCCGTAAGCTACACAATTTATGTGGCTCTTCTCTGCGTATATTTAGTTATTGTGTACTTCTTCTTCCCCGAAACTAGGTTAGGATTCTCTTATATCACTCCACATTCTTCATACTAACCTTAGCAGGCGTTTAACGATCGAAGAGGTCTCTGTAATTTTCGACACCGGTAGACTTGGAACTACTTCTGCAGCCACCGCACAACTGTCGGCGTATATGAAGGACGATGAACCAAGTGTGGCTCGTGTGGAGAATTTAGACCATGGGCCGCACAAGGTTGGGGATAGTGGCAATCGTTAAGGGGCCAGTATCAGGAAGTCTCCTCAGAGCATAAGCCGGTATTTTAACTCAAGGACAACATGGCTTGAGGTGAATATCTCGGAGGAAAATGAATCAAAGACTGAATTAAAGATTAAGAAATATATATCTTTATCTCCTTATATATAGAACTCTTATAAAAAGTAAATATACTAATATAATAATCTTAATACTCTTTTAAAATATCTTTTCTTATATCTAATGTACTTAAGTATTTCTTTTTCTAATTAGCTCTGGCCTATTAAAATCTCAGCTTTATTAGCTTTATCTACCTCTATAATAGCTTACCAGTATGCATAGTCTTATAGTAAACACAATTAACAGATACGGTCTGGAGCAGCCTGGAGCAGACAAGTTAGATAACTTCCCTATGCAGCTTCGCTTGCAGGCATTAACTTGTTTATAAGTTACTAACTATATCATGATCTACCTGGTCATAACTGCGCAGTACCTACTATAACCTCCAAAACCCGTTCAGGCATGCTAAGGAAAGGAGAGTGACCGGACTGAAGCCTTACAACCTGATGGTACTGCCCGATTTTTGCGAAGGCCTCCTGGTGTAAAGGATCCACAGCCTTATCTTCCTCACAAAGAATATAGGTCTTTGTAATCAAGATATCCGAGGTGATAAATTGGGGGAAATGGCAAAAGCTTGCATGACTCTGGGCTTTGGACAAATTCTCCCATGCTGCGTCTTGTCCTTCCTGGCTGAGGTCACTGTAGAAGATCGGTTTGGCAGGCTCTTGGAGATATAGAATATCTTCCTGTAGCCCTTCGTCAGTCTTGAAAATTTACTGTTACCCGTTATTGGTGGTCCAACAGCAACAAACGCACCTCTAGCACATGGTAGGGCATGATAGGAGGTTCCGAATCATCACCCATGATGCTTTTCCCCCGAACTGGATACGAGAACCCGGCTATTGTTACCATCGCTTTGATACCACCGCTCAACCCTTTAGCCGCCCGCTCCTCGATTGTTTGGCCCTCTACAGCGAGGGTTGCCGGCAAACTGCCATAGCTGTGACTGACAACGACGCATTCTCTACCATTGTCTAGAAATGGCAAGATATTATTGTGGATGATTCGAACATCGTCAAGGGCCGTGGTGCCGACAAGCTGCCTAGCGTCCGTGGCTTCACCGCAAACAGCAAGAGGCGGCGTAAGAACAGTGTAGCCTCGCTTTCGAAGCCCCTCTGCCAGAGCATTCCAGCTTGATGGGCGATGAAAAGCGCCAGGTACAAGGACGATAATAGGCTTAGTAGGTGACATCTTGCTGTTATCAGCACTGGATCAATATGGAAGATAAACGGTATCACAGCCTTCATTCATGTGGAGGGGGTGGGCAAGGCTCTTATATAGACGTCAACCAAGAGTTCGGCCCGCATTCAAGTTTTGTCTCAAAATTAGCTCTACGGAGAGATATCAGGTCTGTTGAGTCTCTCACACGCTAAGACCCAAAAGTAAGTATTTGTCCAAAAGTAGGTGTGTATTGCATATACTGCAGCGATATGGCTCGATACTCGAAGTCAAGGTCAGAGATGGATCTTGGTGTTTAACAACCTGGTCCCAGAAATCATAAAACCCACCAACCTTTGTCGGATAAACCGCCCAGTTAGGCAAGAGGTAAGCACTAATATATTGGTTGATTGGGCCCAGTGCTTCGCTTACATCATCTTCGGCCCTTGCGGCAGCTCGGCCCATGGACAATGTTTGAGGCGAACTCCTTCGAAATCCCGTCACTACCACGAAGCCCACGATTCCGTGCACTAGAGACCGCGTATATCTCACTAGATCGTATTTGTATCCATTTCTAATGAAACCACACCCAGGATTATTCATTCGCACCGAGGCCACGTACCCTCGACTTCCGTACACCGGGCATCCGCAGGCCATTTCTTCCATCGGCGGCTGGCTCCCAAAGCTGATCTAGCACACTCCTGTCTCGTCAATATCGCGTGGAAGAAAT